GATTTTTTTTTTCACTTGTCTGCATTTGACTCACCAATGAAAGGGCTGGGATTTTTTAAAAATTAAATGCATTCCAAGATAAAGAGGGAATTAACACGAATATATAAAAGCAAGAACCATTCCCCCAGTGGATTCAAAGATATTAAAACAAATATTCTGCAAAAGAAGAATTGTTAAGTTATTAGCAACTATAACCATATGAAAGAATGTTTCAAATCACAAATAAGAGAAATGCAAATCAAAATAACTTTGAGGTTTCTTCGAGCAACCAGAAAATTGGCAAAGATCACAAAATATGGGATTAATCAAAGTTGGGGGAGGGGCAGGTCTGTGGAAAGATAGGCACACTAATGTACTATTGGGGTAGTCATAAAGTGATATGTTCTGGGAAACTATTGAGAATAAGGACTAAAATAACCATACTTTTTGACACAGAGATCCTTATACTAGACTCATACTCCCAAAGGGATCAAAGATGGCAGTGTGATTCAATGGAAAGCACATTGGATTTGGAATCAGTGAACCTGGGTTCAAATTCCACTTCTGACACCAACTATATGACTTACTGCAAGTCACATAACCACTCTGGGCCTCAGTTTCCTAGAAAGAAAATTTCCATGTCTACCAAAATATTCACAGCAATATTTTGTGTAGTAGCAAAGAACTAAAAACATTGATTAGAAAATAGCTAAACAACTTGTGATACATGAATGTAATGGAATACTACTGTGCTATAAAAAGGACAAATGTGAAGAATTACTAGTAACATGGGAAGATAGGTATGAATTAATACAGAAGGTGGATAGCTTAGTGAGGACAGGAATATATTCAGAAATAAATATATGACAAAAATAAGATGTAAGAATAAAAAGTTAAGGGATAAAAATGCAAAATTTTAGTATATAAGCATATAATATAGAGTTAAATGTTTAAATTATATATAATTTTATATTTTACTAATATTTATAATATATTCTCAATTATATACACACAGAGAGAACAAGAACCATTGAATGAATATTGTGCTGAAGTTTACGAACTGTCAGAGATAACCAGTGAATTAAAATGAAAATCTTTCTTCAATATCTTAGGACACCCCTAAATTATTTGAAAAATATGTGTCCAAAATAGACACTGCTTCAAAGCTGAATGTTCTAAGTGGGAATAAGATCATAGAATTTTCCTTTTCATATGTAGACATAGATATGCATAGGATTTTAGAGTTAGGAGGTACTTTAGTACCTTCTAATCTAGTTCCAATTCCTCATACACACCTTATTTGAGAAATGAAAAAACCCCAGAGAGTTTCTGTAACTTTCCCAAGGGGAAGAGCTGGAGTCTGAACCCAGGTTTCCAAGACTCCAAAACTAATACAAATTTCACAGCCCCACACTGATACTTAGATCTATGATTTCATCAATATAAAGAACTTCCAATGTGAAAATTCCCTTCACCAATGAAGATCAGCAACTCTTAGAGAGTTTCTTGGGACAATGAAAGGTTAAGTGACTTGCCAATAGTCACTCATAGTATGGGGATCATAGAATCATAGACTTAGAGCCAAAAGAGACTTCAGAGATAATCTAGTCCAATCCCTTAATTTTATACATGAGGAAACTGAGCCTAGAGAGGTAAAGTGACCCAAGGGTACAGAGCTAAGAAGTGCCAGAGCCAGGATTTGAACCCAGGATCTTTGACTCCAAACCCAGAGCCCTTCTATAGAATCCTGGTGTGTTGGAAATTGGACAAGTACCCAGATCTCCCTCACTGGCAATGGAAAAATGCTCATATCTCAGCTCTGTTACTTACAGCCTCCAATAAGACATTTAAAGGTTGTGGGTCTCAGTTTCCTTATCTGTAAAATGAATGTTTAGACTAGATGACATCTCTAAGATCTTTCCAACTGTAAATCAATGAGTCTATATTTCTCTTCCTGACCCCCGAGTCCAGTCTTCTATATATGCATACCTATCTTTTCTGGCATAAATATAATTTAGGTAGGAAACTCCTTGTATTATAATTGAAACTATATTGTAATTCTAAGTATCACATTCTTTTAAGTGCTCCATGACCCCAACTAAAAAACTTGTGCCATAAATTACTAAAACATGGGACTTACAGATTTAGAACTGGAAGGGGCCTTAGAAGCCACAGAGTAAAATGTCTCCCCTGCTGCAGATGACCTGCACAGGATCACAAGTAATAAGTTTGTGAGGTTAAGATTTAAGCCAGGTCCTCCTCCCTCCCAGTTCAATGCTTTACCAAGACATCATTCTCTCCCTCTAATACTATATGAGGGGAAATCAAACACGAAAATGTAAGAATTAACAATACTTCCAACATATTTAAAATAAAACATGCACTGTACCTGCTGAGTAGAATAACTGCATGCATTTTTCACAATTTAGGTAACTGCTCAGAGTTCTGAGTTGGGCTCCTTCCTTCTTCTGTACTTAATTGAAAATTCAGTCTTTCTGATGACTGGAAATCTCCTAAGATGGATGGCATCAGGAATCACAGCTGTAACTGAAACCTCATTCCTATTACACTGTTTGTTTATTTCACACAGTAATCACATTGAACCAAACAGATAAAGGTTAATGGAAAAACAATTTTATTCACCAGACGCTACTCATTTGGAAGTAGAAAAATGGATGACAAAAGCATATTCCAGGATGTTGTAGATAATCACAGTGAGAATCAAGCTGCATCCAGCACTTAGCACAGTGCTTGCCATATAGTAGGTGTTTAATAAACATTGATTGATTGATAAATGAAGATTTCTGTAGGATTTCAAAAGCAAAAATGCCCCTGAAAATCATCAAACTCAACTTTTTTTTAACTATTGTCAAAATCTGAGGCAGATTTCATGAACAACCATTGGAACTGAGTCTTCAGGTCCTGCTTAACTATGTCCCATTGATTTATACATGGAAGATCATCTTCTCAGACCTTTTAATTATTCAATAAAGATATTTCCCTGAAAAAGTCCTTTTCAATATAGCCAGAATCAGATGTCTACTTCATTTAATTTTTGTATTTATTTTAATAATGTCCTAGTAGCCATTTAAGAAGTTATTTTAGAAATCCCTTTCAAACTTCCTGAAAGTCATTCCTACCTCCAAAAATTCAATGACTTTCTGTACTTTCCCACATCAGATAAAAGTTATTTGAAGGTTTAGGAAGTCAAGCTCTGAACTCCAGTGAAACCCAAATATATCCAATATAAGAAGTTGAGACATTTCAAAGGCAGCCTGGGCCATGCAGAGCCCTGGGAAACTTGAATTTCTGAATCAGATCTTTGTTGCAAACAGGGGTCTTTCCTCAATAAGACCTCCAATCACTTGGTCAAAGTATTTATTTAGCTACCAATGGTAGAAGGAAAAGGAATCGCTGGGCTTTGAGTCAGAAGTCTTGGGTTCCTCTCCCTGCTTTGCCACAGCTGTGTCTCCCCTGAGACATCATTTCATCTCTCTGAGCCTCAGTTCCTTCATCTGTAATAATAATACTTACATTATCTGCCTCTCTGGATATAATGAAACAATGCTTGTTAAAGCACTTGCAAACCATAAAGCATCGTATAAATGTTCAGCTATTATTATTATAAAGGTAGTTAACTAAAGGCTGGAGGCAGGGCATGGAGTGGGGGATTGTGGGACAAAAGATAGGAAACAATCTTTTCAAAGAACTTTGTGAGGTTTCCCCTTTGGAATAAGAGAAATGCAAAGTTTGCAGAGAACAAATTCCCAAAGCTGTTGCAACATAACAAAGTGCTCTCTCTCTCTCTCACACACACACATATTCCTCAGTATTGCTCTCTGTGTTTCTCCATCTCTGTCTCTCTTTAACTCTCTGTATATATGTCAATTTGTTTAACAAAAATATAAGTCTTTTTTATTACCAGATTCAGAAACAATATTAAAAAGTCCTAGATCTTCAAAAAAAATGTGAATCTGGCATAATATGAGACACCTTCTCTCCTCTCCCCTTCTTCAGGAATCCCTTGAAATGTCTTGTTTCTTTAAAAGCTAAACAAAAATAACAGTGCATTAAATGACTACGTCTAGTTGCAGAAAGAACAAAATGGGTATTCAACAATGTATTTGCATAAATGGACAAAATATTTTATTGGCTAGAGTGCACATTCATAGTGAAGGTTGCTAATATAGAAGTTTTCAAAGGTCAGTTACAATTATACAAAAAAAGTCCACTATTTATAGCAGAAATAAAACATGTTCCTTGAACCATATATCTGGAAAGAAAGGAAACAGCCCTATAAAAGTTGTGACTGATCTTGGTTGTTGTCCAAATGGTAACACGACAACTTCCACCTTTACATCTCTCGTAAATCGACTCCAAGCAAGCAGAGTATTCTCTGGGACCTGTTTCAGTGAGTGGCACCTTTAGCCTGATACACTCGCCACCCAAGCGGCTCAAGAAGTCAGCTCAGCTGACCTGTTCTATAAACAGCCCTAAATCCCCTAGGCCAGTGGGAACCTACAGTTGAACTTGAAGTTGTCTTAGCTCTCTGATCCATATTGTACTACAACTGCATTCTGTTTTATAGTCTGTTTCATACCTAAGTGGTCAGGAAGCGAGGGCAAGGGGTGGGAGTAGGGGGGAGGGGAGGCCAGGGAGTGGGATTATTGGAGACCTAAACCGTAGCTTTGAGATAGACTTATATGGTCTTGGGTGTGCGTGCTGTCTCTTGGTAGCCTATAATAAAACTTTCAGAGGGATGGGGTGGGGGCGGAGGGGAGAACAGCAAACATAAGCCTCTTGGAATTGGGTTTAAAAACATTCAAAATCTTAACAGTAAAGGGAGGAAGGGTGCAGAGAACAGGGATTCGAATTACAACAGATAAGCCAGCCAGCCCAGAATGGGAGAATTTCTTGAGCTGTTACATCTCCACGTGGGAGTCGCTGAAACTTCCCTGAACGGACAGGTTGGCAAATGTCTTTCAAACAAATAAACAAGCAAAGTTAAAATAATATGCTTTTCACCCGCTTCGGTCGTGGTCAGTCGCTGGTGTCCCTTGCAAGGGACAGGTTCCAGGCTTTGAGGAGACAGAAGGAGAAAAAAAAAAAAATCCGCCTCTGTTCTTAATACTGGAAATTAAATACAGCGTCAGAAAGTTGGAGCGGGAAATATGACAGAAGAGGGATCCCCAGCTGGTAAAGTCGCCCTTGAACTTGAGAATCGAGCATCAGGGAGCCACTGAAAGTCGGGCAGAGACCGGGAGAGCTAGCAAAGAGGGCAGAGCTGAAGCATCCCCCGGGTAGCGACTCCCCGGCATGTTTGGCTGCCCCTGCCAGCTCTCCCCCTCTGGCTGGCTTCTGGCTGTGTGTCCGGGCCAGGATACTGTCTATGCTGAAGCTCTTGGGCTTGTCGGCATTTTTTGGAGGGGAAGCGTCCTCCGGGTCCGTGTCTCGCGGGCCAGGGGGCGGAGGAGGGCCCAAGGTAGCTGTGCTCTCAACTGGCTGCCCGCTTGACTGGCCTGAGATAGCAACATCTCGTTGGATACTGTCCTGGGCGTCCTCGGGGACCACGGAAAGGAGACCAGGGCTGGGCCAGCAGAGGGGGGCAGAGCATCTGGTCGAGGGGTGAGTGGGGGCCGACGCAGCATGCCCTTGGGAAGCTCCTTTTGGGCTGGTCACATAGCCCTCACTACTTCCTTCTCTTCTCTCTTCACCTCCTCTCCCTCCTTCTCTCCCTCCTTCTCTCCCTCCTCCTGCTTCACTTTTTCCACATTCTCCTCTTTCTTCACTCCTTTCTCCCCCTCCTCTATCTCCTCCTTCAGTCCTTCCTCCTCCACTCCTTCCTCCCCCTCCTCCTTCTCTTTCCCCTCCTCTCCCAGTTGCTGCAGGGCTGTCTTCCCTTTCCTCCAGCCTGCCTCTGCGGCCCACCTGGGCTCCGGCCTCCTCCGCCTCCCCTTTGCCTTTCTTGGCCTCCTGGACCCCAGGGCCTGGCTTGGGCTTCCTCTTCCGCCGTCTATAGTTGCCGTGCTCAAACATGTCCAGGCAGCGGGGGTCCAGGGTCCAGTAACTGCCTTTGCCAGGGCGGCCCTTCTCCCGGGGCACCTTGACGAAACAGTCATTGAGCGACAAGTTGTGCCGGATGCTGTTCTGCCAGCCCTGTTTGTTGTCGTGATAGAACGGAAAACGGTCCATGATGAACTGGTAGATGCCGTTGAGCGTGACCCTCTGATCTGGGGCGTCTTTGATGGCCATGGCGATAAGGGCGATGTAGCTGTAGGGAGGCTTCTGGGGGGGCTCGGCCCGATCGGCTCCAACCAGAGTAGCGGGAGGAGAGAAGCCCAGGGGCATCCCGGGCCGCTCGGGGCCGTACACGTACAACACCGAGGGGCTGACCAGAGGAGGTAGGTGGTGGTTGTAGAGGTGGGTCATGGCGAGGCTAAGAGAGTTTCAGGCTGTCCCGCAGGGAGAAGGCTAGGGCGAGTCAGCGAGAGGTTCCCCAAGCCTGGGAGAGCCAGCCCCGAGCCTGCAGCTCTAGCTCGCTCCAGCTCTGCCTCTTTCCCCAGCCAGCTCTCGCTGTGTCCCTTCTTCATGCCTTTAAAAATGTTAAATAATTGTTGTAAGTTTGCTATTATATGTTGACTTAGCACTGGAAAATAAATTGTCTATGATAAACAATCGTTGTGTTCTCAGCCCACCCACATTAATTAAAATTTCATTGCTGAAAAACTCCAAGCTTCTCTCCACGTGTCTTTTTGATACCAGCCAATCGTTTTCTGGGCTATTTCTTCATTTGTTTATAGAATTAGTCTGTTGATAAGTCTGCCCACCCAAGTTGAATCAAGCTGTGTTTATTTGGAAAAATTTCCGGGCACCCAATATATAAACGCACTGATCTGATGTTTGAAATATCACGTCCACCCCTTGACGCTGTAAGCACACACAACTCAGCAAAGCAGGATGTTAACTGCTACGACTCGGCGCGGGGTCCGAGCAGGCCGGAGAGAGAGAAGGTGGGGGTGAAAAGATTTATCAAGAGAGAACCAAGAGAGAAGCGGATCACGAACAGTGCAGGCGGAGAGGGAGCCCTAATGGCACCCACCCACCCCCATTCCAAGGACAGAGAATCTCCTTTTTCTCCGAATTTTATGGGAAGATGAATAATCCTTATAAAAAGCTTTCAAGGACTTTAGAAGGATGTTTTAAGGGAACCCGGCAGGGCGGGAAGGGGAGAAAAGGCAAAACTCCACGAGTTTTGAGAGGTGGGGCGGAGATGGTGCTTGGCTTTCGAGGTGCCCGGGAATTGACAAGAGTGATGGTGTTGAAATGTGGGGTGAGGCAGAACTCCCAGGCTTCTCACATTTGTCGAGTCTCAGTGTAAATAAATTTAATCCCAGATAACTAACTCGGGGTGCAGCCAGGTCGAGGGAGCCTAGGGGTGAAGCCGGTTTGAAGGAAATGGCAAAGCTTCAGTGTCCAGTTTAGAGGAAGATGAGTTAGATAATATTAGGCTCTGGGGATCTGGAAGGGTGGAGGTGGTCCGGGGTGATCAAGAAATCGAGAGCCTGGGAGAGGTTTGATAGCCCATCTATTAGGAGTGGGAGAGCAAAAGTGAGGTCTCTGGCCAGGCTGAGGTTGAAAGCGAAGAGCACCATAAAAGGGGGATTTGGCAGGCTTCAGGGGGAAAGCTGGTATTTGTGAATGCAGGCCTGTTGCTTTATATTCTGTCCTTTCCTGTTTATAACAAGGAGGGGGATTATAACAACTTTACAAGTGCACACAGCTGGCCGGTGATTACATTAAACATTTGGGATGCTTGCGTGCGTTTTTTCCCCTTTTTGGGGGGTATAAATGTTCCCTATCTATTTTTTAATTTGTCGGTGTCACGGTTTGAATCAAAGGTCCCGAATGCCTGCGATTCAAGAGGTGTCAGGGTCCCCTTCCCTTCGCCAGCACTCCTCTACTCCCTGGAGGCAAAAGGGGTAGTAGATGCAAAGAGCAACACCTAGCTCTTTATGATCCAATATTCCAGCCACTCAGGTCAGTTTAAACGTCATACGAAAATTTAATTAGTGCCTTAGTAAAACGAAAGGGGACCCCAGGGTGAAGGGGAGGAGTAGAATCAAGGCAGGGAAGAGGCTGAGTGCAGTTTGGTGGGCGGTGATTGGGGACTGTCTGCTACTCCGGTCGGTGTATTTTAAAGGTGGAAAGAAAATTAGGCATCACCTAGGAGCCAGATTCTAATACAACTCCCATATTTCATAAATAGGGAAACTGAGGCACAGAGAAAGGCCTTGCTGAGGTCACCCAGGAGCAAATCAAACATAACTATCCAGGCAATGACTCTTTTCACTAAACCAGGATGCCTTGGTAGTTTTGCCCAAGAGGTGAGGGATAGGTAGGGGCTTCTCTCTGAATCAAGGAGCCCTGGTAGGAACAGGACAAAAACAGCTGATAGGAAATTGAGCTAAGTGCCACCTTGGTGGCTGCTCTATTGGGTACTTTAAATGGAAGGACCCCTTCACAGAACTCTCAGGGACTGTGGTCCAAATAAACCAGTCCAAACCAGGTCTCTTTAGCTTTGAAAATCTACTTGTTGTGGGAGGTTCTTTTCAGCATGTCCCAGACCCAGTTTCACCATCCAGCAGTTCCCTCCTTAGTCGTGCTGACTGACTATTATTCCTGTAGAGGTGCTCTTGGAGTTCCAGGCCCTAGGTAGAGTCCAATCTCACCCAATCTCAGATGAAATTGACATTGGCATTCAAGGTCAAATCATTTCAGCTCTATGATCCTCAGTTTTTTCACCTAAAAAAATTAGAGGAGGTCACACTTACACTGGACACCTCACTGGGTCCTTGTATTATAGAGCTATGAGATGTTGCCACCAGCACCACCATCATTATTGTTATATAAGCACCAAAAAAAAAGACAGTATGGTTTAATAGAGAGCTCACCTGGGAATCATGAATTCAAGTCTGGCCTTTGATATGTGACAGCTGTGCTTCCCTGGACAAGTCACTTAGCTCCTCAGTGACCCCCTGATAACTTTCTAATACTATAAGTTGTAGAGGAGTTGCCACATCTCCAGTGGCAGGAGTTCATTCACTAGGAGCTCCCCATGAAAATCACAGATTTGGACAAATAATAGTATTATAATATCAAGTATTATACCATGATATTCTGTAATGTACAATTACATAATAACATAGTTACATAAAGTATATGCTTGGATAATATTGGATATTATGGCATCACAAAGAGGAATGCCAGATGAGCGACTGGGAATCACCCACCCTACCACCTTCTCCCTTAATCCTTTTGTAACCAAAACGAATTTTAATTGGGAGATGGAAGCTAAGAGAGGCAAAACAAAAATAACTGTAATAACAACTCACATTTGTATAGTTTTCCTCACAACAACCCTGTGAGGTAAGTAGTGCAAGTTTAGTATTATTCTCGTGTTATAGTTAGGAAAACTGAGCCTCAGAAAGGTAAGATCACTTGCCCAAAAAGCCACGGAGGCCCTGTTTCATGGCTGGGAGCCCCAGCAGCAGTGGCCGCTGATCTTAATCCTCAACAACGAATTCCGTGTCCATTCCAGAAGGTGACTGTCGCATTTACCAAGCCACTCCATCTCCCTTCAAACTCATATTACATCGCCCAGTGCAGAAGGGGAAAGGTACAGGTTGCTCCCTGGGTATTTCAGCATTACTCCAATGCCTCTGCTAAGTCCCTTCTACAGGCATCTCAGCCAAGCTGAAGGAAACCAACCGCCCGCCTCTCTTCTCTTGCCTTCGATGCTAGCTGACTCTGGGCGGCTCCTGGAGAGAATCTGAGCAGGGATTATTACAATAATAAATACTTCCCTATATGGTCATGTCCCGGATACAGGCGGAGACACACTAGGAGTTACAGGAGGTATTGGGTGAAAGAGAGAGGAAAAGAGAGAGAAGTAGATAAGAAACCTAACAGTTAACCTTTGGTAAGACACTCTGCTTTGAGGGTTTCCCAGAGACTTTCAAGTTAACAACGCTGATGTAGCTGCCTCTCAAAGCTTGCACCACGTTATATCTGAGCCCAAAGAAAGTCTCTCCCTTTACCCCGCCCAACCTACAGTTTTGCAATAATTGAAATAGGGGAGCTCCAAGCAGAGTGGGAAGGAGCTGCAACTGCCTCTAACCCAGGCTACCCTTAAGTGGCTGTGAAGACCACCACTCTCACTCTGGGAGAGGAGTCACTCCTTTTTTGTGATCTGTAGCTCAAAGATGTGGAGAGTCCCTGAGTTTGAATTCTGACTCTACTACTTACTAGCCGTGTGATCTTGGGAAAAGTCAGTTCCCCCTCTTTGGTTTTTATTTCCTTTGTCTGAGTGGCCATCTGTGTCTGCCTGAGCACGGATGTAAAGCCTTCTACCCTCTACCTAGTTGGAGATCTGAACTAGAGTGTGGGGATGGAAATATAAAGGGGAGAGAAGTATCACAGAGTAATAAGAGATGGGGTAGGAGACAGTGTGAGAACTCTCAGACTCAAAAGGTATCAGAAAAAAATATCTGATTGCTCCTGGCTGGCAGGTTGGGGGATGTTGAAGGTGGTGGAGAGGGAGTAGAGATCCTCTCTTCCCTGCCTCTTGATGTCTCAAGGAAGCAAAGAGTCCTGCCCCCTGGGCTCTGTGGTCATTGAGGCTGAAGCTCCAGTTTTAGAGTGATTGCTGCTGGCTAGGGTCAAATCCCAATGGAAAACTGGTACAAAATGGCCATGAGCACCTTCCTTGGGAGCCCAGAGATCTCAGACTTCAGTGTCTGAGAGGAGGCATACTCTCCCCTTCCTCATCTCCAAACAAAATTTTAAAACAATATCATTGAGGCAATTTCCAATTCTGCTCTAGTCTCCTAGGTGGGAGGGAGAGGAAGGAGAAGAGTCAGGGCAGTGGCAGGGCAATTCTGTGCAAGGTGAAAGATTGCTTAAGAATGGTCAATGAAATGTTGCCCTGCTGAAGTCTAAAAGACTATAACCAATAGTCATAGCAGCATCATACAGCCCACATGAGAGCTCATAAATTATTAGAGGTGGAAAGGCCCTTGGGGATCTATTATCACTGTCTCATTTTTACAAAGGCCTTGAGAACAGAAGTGATTTACCTAGGATCTAGCTTGTCTGTAGCAGAACCAAAACTCAAACCCTAGTCATCTGACTCTCAGCCCAGGGCTCTTTCCATGACAGTCACTTCTAGGAGGGGTATGGGGGTAGGGGACAATGACTGTATATTTTTGGTTGAATTTTTTAGGCTCTAAGAGTTGAAAGTAACCTCAGAGATCTTCTAATCCAATGTATACCTGAATAACATCCCCTCTGCACAATACTAGAAAACATACTAAAAATGCTTTATGAAGGCTAAACGATACAACTTTGAGCTACCAAAGCCCTGTTAATCT